AGAGTGGATGCCAGGAGATTCCAGAGTGGGTTTCTCAGTTTTTTACCTGCTTATTCTTTGTAACCCATACTAATTAACAGAGCAGAAATCACAATTTAATAGTGAGATCAACTCCTACTAAAATCTAAAGGATAAAGATTATGATTGCCATGAAAAGAAGGATGTGATTCTCAAGTACTTCCCAATCAAATTTTTTTTTAAGGAATTTGATTTTCTCCTGAGCTGTTCAGACATATACAGCTACACTAGAAATACCCAGCTGTGGACCTCTCACCTTTTATATGCCTACACCCCAAGAGTGGAAAATTATAAAGCATTATCCCTTGACAAATAAAMACAATTCACATTTGCACTCCTGGAAAAAGTGGGGAACAGAGAGGCCAAATGTACAGCTCCCACAGACAAAAGATGGAGCTGGATTAAGTGGGATCCCTGGGACCCCATGACCAATGTGTGCAGATCAAAGGCACCGTAAAACTTAATGAACAACCTCTCAAGCATTTCACTGTTCCTCTAGTGCTGATGACTTTGTGAGTGAAATAAGCTTCAAAAAAAATCTAAAATTTGCATTGGTTAGGGCTTAGGTGGTGTACTTGGAGAGGCAACCACACTGCAATCCAATCAAATAAAGGAAAGCAAATACATTACACCTGTAGCACTGCACTGTGCAAAGCTACACAAATGCCCTACAGGGCTTTTTAAGGAATAAAAATCTTCCTCCTCACATGTTGGTTTGAAGGATAAGCATAATTGGATGTCTTGAACACAAGGTGATGAACAAACTGGCAGATTTCAATGATCTGAGAAGTCTTTTCCAACCTAAATGATCCTATGATTCTAGTAACTGCTATGATTCTAATAACTTACATTCTATCCTATGATTCTAATAACTTCTAATTTCCAATCCAACTGATATCCAGAAATCAAGTATTTTCTTAGCAAATTCAAAAACCAGAAGTTTTTCCTAAAAATTTACAGCAGCTCACTGCCCAAATAAAGCACTTCTCTAAAAAGCAGAAGTTCTGAGAAATGCAGGTGTGACCATTTTATAGCTGCTCACCGATTTTGTGTGATCTGGCCGTGGAGCAATCACAGGGGGAGGAGCTTCTTCATCATCCTCATCATCATCTGCCACAGCCGTTGATGGTTCCGAACCTTTGGCGTTAGTCTACATTTTTACCAAAATTTAAAAAAGACAAATAAACAAATTGTCTCTCCCACAGAATTGAAGAGTTCACGTTTTGTTTTTCTTTACATTAAGATAAARGAATTCTTACTGATGTCAAAGGAAAATAACTTAAACCACTCAACCTATCCTTAAGTTATTACATTTCATTATGAGACTCTAATACTGTTGCTCCTGTGAAATATGCCCTTCACCCCCCAACTTTGTTTTATTCCACAAAAAAAAATCCTAATTTTAATACTTTTAATCTTTATACAGTTTAATACTTCAAGATTCAGGATGCAACAAATACAAATAACCTGAACCYGTATGCACCACAGAATACCCAAATAATAGAAAATACACTCACCATTGGCGTTCCTGAAGGGAAACCATCTTTTTCTAAACAAGACAAATAGCAGAATACATAAAATCATCAGAAAGGAAATAATAAAAAGTGAATTTTAAGTTGAGGATAATATTACAAAGCCTTGTTACTAAGTTACTTGCAGGAAGAATTTGGAACAAAAGTAGGTAAAACTCCACGTGTTTGTGRACAGTCCTTCTCTCAGCCCCCCAACACAGGCCCTCATCCAGGAGTCYCAAATTATTCTGCATCACTGATGTCACMWGCTGGTGACACCAAGYTCACAGACAGCTGTGAAACGAAACCAGTTCATCCCAGTCCCGAGCCCCAGCTTGATAAACACAGCCCATTCCAGTTCATTTTGGCTGCTACTCTGAATTATCCAGTTCCCTTTCTTCCCCTCTCCACTTCAAACAGGAAATTAACTGGACAACACCGGTTTCCAGTAAGTTTTAAATCCATCTTCAGATATTTGTGCCTCATTGAAATGCGCCTTTGCTTTCAGTACTTGATCTGATTTATCATTGTCTGAATCTGATTTATCACAGARAGGAAAACTGTGCTCCAAATACCCAATTCCAGTGTCTTGCACACTTGGCTCTCACCTGGAGCAGAAAAACTCAGATATTTCTGTTTTGCAATTCTACTTTCTTTGGAGTCGTAGAATTTCAGCACATCTAGTACCGCCTGGGGGTTTTTCTTCTGTTCTAGCTTGGTGATATTTGAGGTCTGAAGCAACCGAGCCCATTGTTCTGGCATTCCCTGGAAAAACAGGGCATTTTAAGCATCCTTTTTGTATTTCGAAGGTTTTTTAAACGCAAAACTTTTAAAGTTTCTTCCCTCTGTAAAAAGCATAACATGCACAGCCTTAAGCAGACAAGCAGATAGGATGGGGGAGCCAAAGGTGAAAACACAGATCACAGTGGCCATACAACAGCACTTCTTCCAGGTGTGCTGGGCCAGGTGTGAGGAGTGGGAATACAAAAACTCTCAACAGACCCAGTGTTACCCACTGAAGAGGGTTTGGCAGGGAGGACTCTCCCAGGTGACACAAAGCATCAGATGTGACACYGGCCCTGCAGAAGCAGTAGCAGGTCACAGTGTGCTGTACAAAGACACAGGAAAATTCCTTCTTTGGTAGAAACAAAGACTAAATCACACTTTATTCCACTGCTCTGCCTTGGCTTCACTGCAGCACTGACCCATGGTGTTCCCTGAGCTGCTCCAAGGCAGGAATACTCACAGTGAACTCTCCAGTAACAGCATCGAAGCCAACATGGATGGTGTGTTCAAAATCTGATGGTGGGGAGATTTCTGGCCTTTCCTTCTCCTTCTTCTTGCTTCCTGAAAAAGACATTCAAAGATCTCGATGTTAGAAAGAAATCCTTCCCTGGGAGGGTGGAGAGGCAGGGTGCCCAGAGAAGCTGTGGCTGCCCTGGATTCCTGGAAGTATCCAAGGCCAGGCTGGACATGGCTGGAGCACCCTGAGATAGTGGAAGGTGTCTGTGCCATGGCAAGGGGTGGCACTGGATGGGCTTTCAGGTCCCTTCCAATTCCACCCCTGCTAGGATTCTGTGATTCCAAGAACCAACACCTTATCCCATTCAAATAATTTACACTATGGCAGCAAGAGAAGAAGAGACRAAGAGCACCAGAGTGCTCTGTTGAGCACATGAAATCTAAACATATTAAATGTTTACAATGCAAAAAAGGACATTTTAATATAGATTAAGAACAGCAGAAAAGACAACTTCAGTTCAACCTCAAGTTCACCCTAAAGACACTTTTGCCTCACTGCTTCAATTCAAGGTAATTAATGCAAACTAGGACTTCCTGTGATGAAGATAAGAGTTTATAGCCTCAGAGCAATTACCTAATTTAAATTAAAAGGGGGAAAAAGCATAATAAGTACCAGAAGCAGGAACAGATAATTAGAAGGACCATGTGCATAATCCAACCTAGATCAAATTGAATTTATAAGATGTTTTCTAACACCTGAGGCTTCATATTTCTATTTTCTTGTTTTGGGAGTTTTCGGGGAAGGCAGGGCAGGGTTTTTAAAAATTTTTATTTTATTTTCCAGCTTTGTTTTTGAAGTCATCTTTAAAGTCCTCTTGTTTCAACMCAGAAAAAGCAGGTAAACCAACACTTTCTTCATTATTATACGGTGAGCAAAGATGGTGCTGCTGGGAGCCAGGAATCCRTCTGAAATCCCCTCTGGCTGGCGGGAAGGGAAGGGAAGGAYGGGGARTGAGGACAATACACCCGAACGAAAAGCCATGTGGGCTGCCTGCAGCTGAACAATGCCGTGGAAAGACACGGCTGTTATAAACAGGATATCTTTAATATGGCTGCACGGGCAGAGCCAAAAAGCAAACGGGCTGGGCTGTCAGGCGCTTCATTAACAGCGGGAGAAAGCCGCGGCTGTGAAAACYGAGCAAAGCAGCATTTCTTCTCCATTTCTTGCAAGTTTTTATGTGGAAGCAAGGAGGAACATATATACATATATATTTATAAAAAGTTGTATTGTTCAGGAAAGCTCCTGTTTGGGAGCACTTGACAYGCAGTGAACAGGAGCTGGTGCTCAAGCCCTCCAGCACGTGCTGTGTAAATAAACCCACTCCTTCCAAAAATACACAGATGCCGTGAGCAGGCAAGGCAAAGAGACTGAAAGCCACGGCTCTGCCCACAGGAACAGCAGAGCAGCACTTCAAACAAGCAGCCCCAGGCAGAGGCAAGCCCGGTGAGTCATGTGCTGGCAGGACATCCTCAGGCTCCAGAACAAGGCCACGGCCAGGCCACGCCACCTCCCAGCCTCTGGCTCGGGCTACAGCAGCTCCGGATTGAAACGGGAACCCCTGCAGTGGAGAGTAATGTTCCTTGCAATCTGCTCATGGTGATCTTTCTGCTGACATGGCTGAGCCCAAAGAGCCTGTAGGGAGATGTGGGAAGCTGCTACACATTGATGGAGCACCTCAAGAGAGACTTCAGAACTCTGCACTGGGGTGCTGTCAGCTCGGTGTAGTGCAGCATGTCTGGAAGAGGTTCTGCCTCAGCCCTTCAATCCTGCAGAAATGAGTGTTTTACCATTTTATTATCAGTCTTGAGAGCCAGAATTCGGCCCTGCAGCATCCCCCTGCTCCCAAAGACACACAACTTTGGAAGGATCTGGTGAGCTGCAGAAATGGAGTATAATTAAGAAGGAGCCTCAAGTACACCCAGCTTCTTCTCTTCCCCAAATGAAGCCACAGGCACTCAGCAAGGTATCACCCTTGTATCTCTCAGGGCAAACCCACCCTCAGGCTTCCCTCACTTCCCAAATTCCRTACACAAGGCAAGAAAACACAGCTGTTCCCAACAGCTGGAGGGAGCAGGCTGCTGACTCCAGATGTGCACCTGGAGTTGCYGAGCCCCAGCTGAAACCACACCAAAATGTGCCCCGAGCACGTGACATGCAGGATCTGGGTGATGCCCTCAGCAYCTCCTTTAATACTTTCTGCTCAAAGACAAGCATTTCTGGTTTTAGGGGACTATTTTAAAGCTTTCCAAAACCACACGAGGCTCCTTTGACTTCAGAAGTCAAGCCAAGGAAATTCATGGCAATGAARTACTCTAGTAAGGAGATGACTATCRCTTCGTTTATCCTAAACAATGGAACCAGGGGGGGAAAAACCCTCCATGGCTGGTGATTAAATAATCCCCTCAAACCTTTATGATTATTTCAGCAYAGAACTAGCTCAGACTTGGGACAGAAACTGTGTAATTGCTAAATCTCTTCATCTGCAAGTCCCCCAAAGCAMAAGAATCTCCCAAGAGAGGATCTGGGAACAGATGAGGCAGGCCAGGAGGGACCTTGCAAAATYATATGGACAGAGATGTGCAGACAAAGCCAAACAATCTTCCTGGATAATGGCAAGGACTTTTTCATTTTCTGAAAAGGACAACTGAACACTTTTGTAGTAATTTGTTAGCTTATGTGCTGCCTGAAGAAATTTTTCCCATGACAAAATTTCTTCCCCAGGTTGACAGATTATTTTACATCCAGTCCCAATGTATTTTTTAAATCTGAGCAGGAAGTTAGCATTTATGTAAATCTTCCTAGCAGCTGAATTTAAAGAAAAGAAGAATTTAAATGGGCATTTCTGGGGAGGGTGCGTCCCAGCCATGCTAATGAACAAAACAACTAACATCTGACTATTGTGTGAGTGCCAGAAGGATACTGTGCCCACTTCTGTTCTGCTTACATTTGACAGGCAGTTTTGCAGACTTGAGGGCCAAAATCCCTTCTCTGGATATTTACATTAGCCTTGCTGCAGGTCATCCAATAGACAAGTTTCTTCCAAATTAAAAAAATACAAACTTTCAGATATTTTCTTTAAAGTTAGGTAATTCAATTTCCATTTTTCCTAATATCTTGCCATGCAGGAAAATCTGCTTTTTTTCAAGAGGAYGTTACTTGACTTACTTTTTAACATCTAGAAAATACAAACAGATGGCTACTTCCTCTAAAATGTACTTTTCTCAGCAAAAATTCTTTCCTTCATTTTTAGTTCACAACACTACGTATCAGTAGATAAACAAATATGCAAATTAATTTCCCTGATTTTGGTACATGTCAATATCTAGAGTGGTCTGAATAAGCTGSATAGGACTCCAAAGCAACTTCAGATGAGCCACTACAACTTTAAATAATTCTTCAATCCTCTCCCTRTTCCAGCAACAAAGAAACCCAAGCATCAAAATGAAAAGAGAAAATGTCCATGGAGAAAAAAAGGTGCTGTGGAATGTCACAAAGCTCTCCTGCTCTACTTGCACCCACTTGCATTCATAAWTCCTTTGTGTTACTAATTCAGAGCGAGGAAAACCTTCCTTCACATGTGGTTTATGGGCTCAAATGCTCTGATGAAACCACTAACAGCATAAAGACAGGTGCCATCCCAGCTCCTAAGCTGCTCTCCTTGCCTGAAGATGGACAAATCTGATCCTTCCATGAGATTTCCATACAGAACTCACCATGAATTGTGGGTATTTCCTCCCCTGACCAACAAATTAATGGACAAACACCCATTTCTGCAGGATTGAAGGGCTAAGGCAGAACCTGCTCCAGACACGTGGCACAGCGCTGAGCTGACAGCATCCACATCTGCCACCTTCAGCACCCAAATTCAGCACCCTCAGAGGGCTGGAGCCTCTCCTGGGGTGCTGCACCAAGCTGYAGTAGCTTCTCATGTTCTCCTTACAGACTTTATTCACCCATGTCAGTAMAAAGACCACCACAGCTACTGCTGCAGCCCAGCCACAGACAGGCTATTTCACAATAAATAGCGAAATATATTTTCACAATAAATGGTGAAATAACTATTCTGCCTCCAAAAGCTACACTGGCCAAACCCTTCCATCCTCCAAAAAGGAAAACACACCTACTGTTGAAAGCAGAAAGCCAGATTTTTGGAAACAGAGGGAAGCCTGTCTCTCTGGGTTTGATCTCCAGGGAGAGGCACGGMTGCAGAGCTGCTCACACAGCTGAGTGAGAGTGAAAACCAGCCCTGGGGAAAACACTCAGCCAAGAGAAGAGTCAACCAGAGGAGAGAAATCTCTTGAAACAGCCAAACCTGTGTCGGCATGACTGAACCAGTCCTGCCCAGCACACCAGCAGCAAGGCATGGGGAGACAAGAGCACAACTAGGAGGCATCAAGAGCAGCAGGGGCTTCCCCAAGGTGCATATTAAAAGTAGCATTAACTAGATTAATAAAATGCTTAGCAGATTCAGGTCAGGCTTAAGGCTCTGTGCAGTTTAACCAGCCCAGATGTTAGAAAGCATTTTTATCTATGCATTGTTTTGTTGTATATGGACACATTCTGGAGAGCCACTGCTGTATGTGCATTCCCCGCAAAGAAAAGAGGGCAAACAGCACACAAATACGGCCTAGGATTCATTACAGCCATTTTTTTCTCAGAAAGAATCTTTTTTACAGCAACCCAGATTTTTCTCCACTAGTAATCAATCCTAACAGTGCAGTTCCACAGACACAAAGATGTAAATTCTCTCAGCTCTCCCTCATGCAACTGCACCTTCACCACTGTTTCTTCACTGACTTTTTTTCTCTCAAGGTGCCACATGAATGATCATCACTATGAAGTAACTTCCAAACTAGCTGGGTGCCCAGTTTAAACTAGAAATCTGCATTTAAGTAACATGATTCCTAAGAATGCCAAACATCGATTAGGGTTGTTTGGAAATGCATTACTTCAAACTGGTTAGCAAACAGGGGYTGGTTTTCCAATCCCCTACACTTGGGCAGGCTGGACTCTGACACCTGAAGAACCACCAAAACTTACAAGCAGAGTAAAGGAATACAAGCAGTAGTGGGAAAAASAGGCATCTCACCTTTTTCATTGCTATAAAACATGGAGATGATTTTACTCCTGGGTTTCTTCTCTTCTGGGACAGAGGGCAGGGGTTTGTAGCTGTGGTTGGTCGCCAACGGATCTTTGCCCCCACTGAAGATAACGCTGCTCATCCGGACAGGAGGGGCTGGGGGCTTGTCTTCCAGTTCTCCGTTGTCAGACATGGTTCTCAATAGTTAGGGGAAGCCCTGCAAGAGAAATGTGGTGTTTGAACACAGGGAAAGAGTGTGGAATACTTGAATGTACCATTTCTTCTGCTGGCAGAGGGGAAGGAGGCGTGAATTCAAGTMTGAGGAACGCAGACACTGACGCCTCCACCAAAGGAAGCAAATCCCTTCCTCATTCCCACTTCTGGGCCACCCATTCATTTGTGCCAGCAGCAGCGTTTGTGGGATGCAGCGACAAACATTTCCAGTGATAAAAGGAACACAGAGCAAATGAACCATTCCCAGATCTGGTTCTCTGTTCACACAAAGGGCCTAAGTACAATATCCTTTAGGGGTAGCTCTAGCCCAAAAAGCTTCATGCTCCAGTACCAAACAGCTTTAAAAACCTTAGATGCTTTCCTTTTTGTCATTGATCAGACAAGATATGGGGGACRAAGGAAGATCTTATGTTTGTCAGTTGTAATGCAGCACACTGTCCACATTAGGTCGCATTCAGAACACCTCCACCCAAATCACACAGTGCACGTTAAAGAGCACGGCACTGAGATCCACACTCCTCAATGAGGCTTGCGTTGCTTCCCTACTCCGTGCCAAACTTTCTCCACTTGSAGAAAACAACAGAGTATCCCCACAATCCTCTCTGAATCCTCAACAAAAACACGAGCATAGACACGAACAAACAGCTGCTAAGGCTGCCACCRCAGCACAATGAAACATCTACGTGACACATTCCCCATTCAAAAAAATCTCTGCTAGCATTTCCTCCCTCCCTATAGTATTTTGGAGGTTTTTCTCTGATCACCAGGAAACAGGCAGCCTCTCTGCTACACAGTAAAGACCACAAAAAAAGATGTACAGAAACCACGTCTCAATGGCAGGTTACAAACAGTAATAAATGCATCCCCAATTCCTCTGTTCAAATAGCAAGCTACCTCTTTGAACAGGAGCCAACATATCTCTGGGTTGACCTCCTCCTCCTCTCACAACAGTTTGGGAAAGGAATGGCCTTCTGGTGCCCACTGATTTCCCATCACATCTCAAGGCATGGCAT